TCCATTAAAGATAAATAAATAAAAACCTAATTACCTACCCCCCCACCAAAAAAATTTTCATTACCTTCCAGATAACCCCCATACCATGAAGCATCACCCCCTACCTCCCTGACCCCTGGGAGCCTTTCTGTCTCTATAGACTTACAAATTCCAGATACAACATGTGTCCTTTCGTGTCTGGCTTCTTGACTTTGAATGTCATTTCTGAGGTTCATCCACAGCGTAGCACACATCAGTACTTTACTCCCTTAGATTGAATTAATTTTTAAATTGTTATCTAACCACAAATAGCTTGGCAGCTTTGTTTAAAAAAAAAAAGGAGCAGCAATGCCATTTTATGACATGCCTCGGAGAGGACAGGAGAGTCAGCCAGCACAGGGGAAGCGTTCCCCGCCCCATCCTTGATCTCTCTTGGTCAGCCCTCTGTCTCTGCTCCCTGTCTCTGTTTCTGTCTCTTTCTTTTTTTTAATTTTTTTTTATTTAACAAAATGAAGTTTAATGGCATATTCATTGCAGAAATACTGTCATTTCCTCTGAAGTGTGGTTCTTTCGGATAAAATGCTAGCTGATGCTATATATTTTATACACAGATACACACAATGGTTACAATGAGTTTTACGTAAAACACTTTGAATTCTTGATTGTGCATTGCTTCTGTCTCTTTCTGTCTATCTCTTTCTCTTTCTCTGACCCTCCCTCATTTCCTTTTTTTCTCTTTCTCTCCCCATACATTCTGGAGGTGATTATTGGGGAACCTGAACTTGATTTTAACTGAAATGTTTAAGGAATTGGGGCAAACAGAAGATTCTTTGGAGTTAACTTGAACTCACTTATTCACTTTGCTCATAATTTTGCCAAATCAACGACATGCCACGTAGCAGAAAGCCAGAGGCCAGCCTCTACAGGTCTTGGTCTCTCACTGGGATGGCAGTGGTGGGTGGAGGGGGCATGCTAAAACACTTACCTGGCCATGGGTACCACCCTTGGCTCCACCACTTGTGAGCTTTTCCTGTGCCACTGTCTTGCCTGTGCAGATCAGCTGTGGCCTCTTTGCTCCCAGCTTCCAAAGCTTCTGTTCACTGGGCTGCCTGATTCTCTCCCAAGGACCGGTGGATTCTCCTTGCTAGCTGACCCTCCTGGACAGCCCCAACCATGATTAGCCACTGGACGTCTGAATCACCATGAGGAGAAAGACAGTAGTCTCTGTCCATATGAGGCCAGAGAGTGCAAAGAGAAGCAGAAGGCAGCTCGGAATCCAGCCCTTCCTACAGGTCCCC